AACAGAACACGCGCCGGAAAAATCCCAACCCAACAACCCCAACCACCACCCCAACCATTTTTATTACCAAAAAAAAAAAAAAAAAAAAAAAAAAAACACGCACATTCTCACACCAGTGCACGAGTCTAGACTAACATATTGCTTCTCAAACATTGCTGGCCCACACTGCCCATTTTGCTAATGGTATGAGATTTGCATTGGGTTACTTGTGCATAAGATTAATGCCACAACCTGATTAATTTCTGTTGGCTCTGAATGACTAATTATGTCTCGAAGTAACCCTTCACATTCATTGCAGAACACACATTTCAGGCAAGACAGAACGCTTTTCACAAGAAAAATAACTTTTAAGTCATTCTTCTGTTGTGTGTGTGTTTAAAGCTCTTGCCTTCTCTCACAGTTGTTCTGCTTACACCATACTGTGTAAGTTTAGAGGCTTTTTGCAAAATAGCTTACAAAAGGCACATTCACACACATTATGAAGTAAAAGCTTTTTAAAGTTAAACTGCTCCCGAGATGCTCAAATGTACAAAATGTGGAAAAGTTTCAAACTGCACCTAGTTTCTTCATGCTACGCCAAGCAGCCAGATTTTATTATACTCCTAAAGTGGTTGTGATCAATACGTTTCCAGGTTTGCTAAGGTTTTGTGCCTTTAAATGTTGGATTAGAGTGCTTGAAGTGCCAGTTTGCAATGGATCCTTTGCCAAGTTGTGTGCTAAGAAACAACTCTGGCTCATTTGTACAGTTTACGAATCGCTTTCCAACAGTTTATGCTCATATCTACCCATAAAACCATTTGTACTTTTATACTCTAAAAAGCTGTATGCAAGCTTTTTATTTTCTATATTATACATTCATTGACATCCACCTTTCAGACAATTTTCACCTGGTTTGACAGCTCGCCTTTTTGGATAATCTATTCATAGTCTGTCTTGGGAATTACAATTAACCCTAACCCTATGTACTGGATAATGTGCCAGCAGGTAGTCACTCACAGCTTTTAGTTGAATCGTTATGTTAATCTGTCATAATATTTAAGACCCAAATATGGGCACAGTGGTTGATTTGGCTGCAATGCCACTGGCAGCAGCATCTCTGCCTATAAAGCGCTTTTGATGCAAAGTGACGATGACAGTGCCTGTTTCCATCAAAAAAAAAAAAAAAAAAAAAAAAAAAAAAATAATAATAATAATAATAATTATTATTATTGCAATCTCCAACTCCCTTTAAGGCATTTGTTTTGCTTTTCTAATTTAGTGCTATTGACCAAGCAACACCAGCTGTCCTGTTCTAAAAAAAAAAATAAAAAAAAGTTAACTGTAAGATCACCTAAATGATGCCGACAAACCATTTGTTAGCAGGGCAAAAATAATTGTGCATATTATATATATATTTTTATGTCAGTTGCTATAATATTTGCATTGAACTACATTTTATGTGATTACTCTTGACACGTATTGCAAAGTTCACAAATAAGCATCATAGTTTGCCTCAAAATGTTTGGGCACCAGGCTGAAGGACTTTAGCACTCTTTAGTTTATTCTTCTCTTTTTTTTTCCAACTTTTCTTTTAAATGGCAGTGCTAAGCTTGGAGTTAGAGCGTATTAACGATGGACTACAACTTTTTCGGGGAAATGCATTTTTTTTTTTTTTTATTATTTCCACTGTCATTTAAAGGTTAAGCTACACTCAGTAGCTGATGAGTTTAATTTGGCGTATAGACTAGAGGTGAGAAAACGGGAAACCTGGCTCTGTTTAAAGGTGATGAAATCCTCCTTCCAGCAGCTTTAAAGTTCACCAGTGAATGCATTATGTTTAGTTTCATGTAATCTGACCTGAATAATCCAGGTTTCATCATTAATTTCATACTATCTGAGGAAAAAAAAAAAAAAAGTTTTTATTTGGATGTCTTCAAATAAATCAGTAACGTCTACGGTGCAGCGAAAAACCAGAACACATTACGTAGTGGATGTGTTGTACGGAGGTGTAGTGATGCTGGCCAGACTTGTCCCCCCCCCCACTTGTGATAAAAGTGACTTTAAGGAGAATGGATGCAAGTAATATAAATGATCTCATCTATCTAAGTTAGAAAACACATAAGAGCAAATCTCAATGAGATAAATTCCCTCAGAGTCCACATATGTTACAGGCCACGACTAATTTCCATTTCTCTCTAAATAGCTTAAGTTCCTCTTTGAGCTTAAAGCGAGTTAAGTTAATGCTGTATATTCCTGCCCCTTATGGATGCACAGCCATGACAGGTTTCTCCATGCAATTATCTGTTCAACAACGAAGTCAAAAGTCAAAATTAGCGATTAAAAAATTGGACAGCTATATATATATATATATATATTTTATCAATACGGTACAAAATAAAATACCAAAAACTACGATAATTTATTTAATCACTGAATCTTTCTGTCACTATATTTATTACCTAACACACAGACGGGTCTAGGATTGTAGGACATTTCTGTTTTGTGCTGAATCAAATCCGAGAAAGCTTATTGTTCTTGCAATCTCTGATTTTCGACAAAGACGTCTCTCCGCCCAAACTACCAAAATCAAATCTCAGTGTGTGATTTCTTTCATTTTGTAAGACTCAGTTTGATTTTCACATCTGGAACCCAGTGTTTTTGGACAGCATGAAAAGATTTATAAAATAAAATAAAAATACATAAAATTACTTGTGAGTTCTGATGGAGCGTAATAACAAAGCTTGTATTGTTATCCCAGATTGAACTCTTATCTCCACAGGGTTCTGGTGCAGACCAGCCAGGTGGAAAGCATGAATCTTTTTCTTTTTCTTCTTTTTTTTTTCTAATCTATTAGCCTCCCTCACCCCAACGTTACCTCTGGGAAATTGCTGTAAATAACAATGTATTCTTAGTCAAGTCGTCTGGAATGTTTCTCACCGTGCTTGTTATGTAAGCGGCAGCTGGGAGCTTTTCGGTCTGCAAGAGCCGTAATCATGCCTCCAGCAAGCTGATGGTGAACCATATAACTCGGAGTGTTTGTTTACATTATGAAAGGTGAAGAAGATTTCCGTCCGCAAAGACAATCTGACTTAAGAAGCGTCAAGATAGGAATTTACAGGAAATCCGGAGGGTATGAAATATGCCTTTGTGAAGCATATTAGAGGCCTAAGATGATGCCTAGTTGTACCTCAGTTCACAGTTAAATAAACACCCTTAGATTCTCTAAAATGACACTAAAGGTCAGCAAGTGTTGATTTTAAACTAGCAGAGAAAACAATTTTTAAATTCCAGAACTGAGCAATTGTATGGCAAGGTTACATTCCGGCAATGTTTTACCAGACAGGCACTGCTACATTCACTTTTCATGCAGCTACCTTTCCTCTGCATGTTCATCCAGGCCCCTATTATCCCTCCAACCGAGTGCGAAGGGTTTAAGAAAAGTGTTCCTGCAAGATGTGAAGCATGCCACTTTACACTCTGGCGAGTCTACATGTTTTAGACACCTTTTATCCATCTATCAGAATCCCTGGTACGGGTTGGACGTCGGAGCTTGTATATTCTGAAGTTTAAAATGCTCACCCGAGCAGAAGGGCATGGGGGAGCTCCACATCCCATTGAGCTGACACATCCGAGAAGATTCTCCTTTTAGCTGCCTCCCACCCAGACAGGAATATCGGACTGTGGAACCAAATGTGAACTTCTCTCCAGTCAGCATGCCGTTGGGCGGAGAGCCTGGATGGCCGCAGTCTACAACTACACATGGAGACAGATCAAGACTGAAAGATCAGCTGCTTTTGGCCACACGTAGCATGACAAAAGCCCTTTTTATCTACACACCTATGCATTCAGGAAGAGGCTTGTCCCACTGTCCGGTGGGCTGACAGGTCAGCACCGGTGAGCCGAAGAGGTAATAACCAGGGTTGCAGTCATAGAACACCACCGTGCCGAAAGTGAAGTTGCCATGTTCTATTTTACTCTGCCGAATGGAGTTGGCTGGGATGCCGGGATCAGAGCAGTTGACCACTGTACGCAGAGAGACACAGAGACGGACATGCGAGAAACACAAAAGACAGACAGGAGGAAAACCTGTGTTATTTGGCATGAACCAGGGAGAGTCATTTATTTTGGCCTCCAATGGATTCTTCGCTGTTTTCAAATTCAGAGCAATAATGCAGGACGTGATAAACACGACAAAAAAAATAAAATGAGAAGAGCTTGTGTTGTGAAGGACAGGTAGTGATAAGGTTTTAATAAAGCTATGCAGCTTCGTATTCTTATCCAACAATTTCAATGGCATATTTCCTAAAGACTAGCAGCAAAACACAAAAACATAAAGGTTTAAACCTTGGCAACCACTAAAAATGTTATACTGAGTCATCATGGAAGGATTAGCTAACATACAATGTAAGAGATGCTGAAAAACTTGGCTACACAATTTTCAATTCTTTTTGATTTAGTTTGTAATTCACACAAGATAAAAAAAAAAATGTTAATACAGGCTCAAATATATGAGGCACAACCATTAGTCTTAAGTTTCTCTTCCCAAATTGCAACTTGCCTAAAAATCCCTCATTATAGCCTGGCTGGGAATATGACCACTCAATTAGGCAGATTACGTGACGTTCACTTAAAACTGGTGTGTTTGCTGCTCACACACAGGTTTTGGTGTAGTTCACACATTTTCAGCAGATCTGAAAACAGTTTAACGTGTTTGGGATCATTGCACTGTTGGAACATGCAACCTGTCCAACCTTTCAAGCATTTCATTAAAACTGTCACCTGTTTAGCTGCTTATTCAAATATCGGTGGGTGTGTGTGTATATATTTGAACCTGTATTATTCCAGAAATGTAGTTTAGAGCCTGTGTCGATTTGGGACAATCCAAACAAATCCCCCCCCCCCCCAACCCCAGTTAAAAAAAACAAAATCACTACAGTTGTATGTTGTATAGTCATTCCAAGCTACCAAAAGGAAAGATGAATTAAATCTTTGGCTTACAAGGTTAAAAGGAAGCGTATTTAAAGAAAGAATTTACTTTTCTTCTCGGACAGAAGGTCAAAGTGGCAAATGTGTTTATTATGAACAAAGCTGATGGAAGAAAAAAGATGAAATGAAAAAAAGGAGGGATGCTCTAAGGTAAGGATTGGGGCTGAGAGATGAATTGGGTCCATGGCAGCAGGAGCATGCAGACATGGTAAAAAAGAATGAGCTAAAAAAGAAAGTTAGGGGTCAATACACTTAACTTTTCTCCCCACCTTTACACGTTGGGGGCGGGTGGCTCCACTGTCTGTTGGCCTGGCACTGAGCACGTGCGGGCCCCTCCATCTCGTATCCCCGGTTGCAAACGAAGCTGACCACATCGTTGAGATTAAAGCCATTTCCCACCGTGCGGCCGTAGATGGGACTTCCTGGGTGGCCGCAGCTGATCGCTAGGGGAAAATGTTCACACGCATAAAACTGAATACGGGCTAATGACCCAAAAAATGTCTTGAGAAGCTTTAATTTTATAATATGCCACATCTGCCCTGCTCTTTTGAGCAACATGAGTCTACATTTTATCACTTTGAATTAGATCAGAAACAATTTTCCAACTTTGTGTCTAGTGAAACTTCCAGAATAAGGACAAAACTAAGAGTGCGGCTTAGATTGCAAAAGATGAGACACGCACCACTGAAATATTCATATTCAGCAAATGGAATGCGACCATAGGAAAAAGAAAATATGGGATCACTGTTCTTTGAGGATGTTCATTGAGGTGTTTTATTTAGTAGAACAGTGGGAAAAAATGACAGTCGTGTCCCCAAACTATTCCCGATGACAGCTGGAGATTGTGATTGGAGCTTTGTAAAACAGGCCTCACACATATTAAAAATTGACAGTAATTCACATTTAAATCAAGCAGAAAAAACAAAAACAAAAAAAACAAAACAAAAAAAAGTGTCTCCGGTAATGAGGAAAAATACATTTTATATTCACATATTTTGATTTTATGACCAGGATAAGTTTAATTTTCCAATGACTATGTCATAAATAAGGAAGATAGACTTCAATGAGCTCATGCATCAGAGTGGTAATCAAAAGTGTTGGTCCAGAAAGTGAAAAACTGACAAAAAAAGATAAGCAAAAATATAAGAAAATAAAGAGAGAGACAAGAAAGTAAAAACCCACACAAAAATTGTAGAAACAAAGCTATCAGTTTTTGTGACTGAATTATAAGAATATGGTTTATAAATCTTGAAATGCATAGGAATAGCCAAATTTTGCCACATGAATTAAAGAGAACCCATCACAGGTTGTAAAAGTCTGGATATAAAATATCAAATTAAGGCAGAGAAATAATTCAGGAGGATTTTGGATTATTTTAGAGTTTATTGTTATCGTAACAAAAGCATATGCAACATACCTATGCCAAAAAAATTGCTTCAACAGCAATTAAAATTTGCTAATATAAAACATATAAGTTTTAGGATTTTCTTTTTTTTTTAATGCTAAAACAACAGAGGTTGCCTGGAAAAAAGTTTTTTCAATAAACATATAATTGCAGTGCCTTGCAAAAGTAATGAGATTTAAACTAAAACCACAAATATGCAGAACATTTTAGAATCACCTTTCACTGCAATTACAACTGGAAGTCTTTTCAGAGTATGTGACTCCCTGCTATACAGTCGTCTCGATACTGAAATTGTTGCCCATTCTTCTTTGTAAAATGGCTAAAGCTTAATCATGGAGAGTGTCTGTGAAAATCAATTTTCTCAGATAGATTTAGGTGCTTCTAATACATTTATCTAATTGATTTCATTATACTCCCACTGTATTCTCAAGGTGTGGCCTGCAGCAAGATAAACCTCTGTAAAAGCCTCGAAGCTTTTACAGCAACTAACAGATTTTCTTCCAGAATTGGATTTTATTTTAGGGGGGGAAAAAAATGAAAAAGGGTTTTCCAGACTTTTACGTTTAAAAAAAAAAATATTGAAGACCGTTTTTAATTTCT